GCTTAATATTTCAGAAAAAAAATCAGGTTTGCATTATTTTTAATAAAATATCTACTCTGCCAATGATATGTCTGTAAACCGACATAAAAGGTATTTACAATTTTTATGTGAAAACGGAAAAATTTAAGTATATGGTGGATTCACTGTGTTATTTTTTGTCAAAGGGGGAATCGAGGCGTTTTAATTCAATGATCCACTTGATATCCACTTAATTAACGAGATCCAAAATTTAATTATCTTCTGGATTGTATTTAATTCTACAAAATGTCCTACTATTATTGATTTGCATTCGAATTCACAAATGCAATAATCACAAAACCGCCATTTTCACAAACGCCAAAATTAAGGCATATTACCTAACTCAAAATGTTGAATGCTTTTAATTAACTAAATTGCATACGTTTTGGGTAAACATCCATCATTACCATTTCAATTTACATTTCAATTTCTTACTAGCTATATCTGTCACGGTTCCAACAAATAATTAAAATATGTATTTATATAACAAAGTGTATATCTAAGAAATGAGGACAATTCCTGTAAAGAATTGACTAATTTTACTATTGCTGAGTAAAATATTTATCAATACATTGATTTTTATGCAAATTTATCTATAATCGAAGTTTTTATCTATTGAAATGTTATACTTTTCACCACAAATACGCAAACATTTAGCCAGAATTTTTTTTTCAAGTGACATGTTAATTAATTTACGTAATAAAGTTTACTCTATGACTACCAAAATACGAAGTTCCAAGAATTTTACTGAAACAAATGCTCTACTTGACTTAGACGAAAAGATAAGTCGATAAGATTTCGATTTTATGAAAGTTAAAGTTTCGTGGACATGGTATTGGACATTGAATCAAACTTTGCACACATAGTGTAAGAAAATAATTGAGGTATTTTTACACTTATTTTTTAAAGCTCAGTTATGCTATGGTAGGACTGTAATCTGTGGGAAGCATTTTCTTGCCAATTGTGGGTAAAACAGAAAAGAATTTCCTATTGCACGACCACCCAGCATTACTAAAACTCGACGTTAAGCACAGTTTACCGTAGGCAAGTTATTACTGTATTTAAAAGAGAGAAATTTAGACAATTTACATTGCTAACCGATTTCAAACGATATCCATACTGAAACATCGTTGGATTGTTACTTTTTTTCTTCAAGACAATGCCATGCATTCATGAACGCCCCTATTCCATTCTTTATCGACCGCATATTAGCGTTATATAAATATATACATATTTGTTGATTAAATTATTTTAATTATAAAGTTAAAGAAAGTAATAGCCATTTCCAATCTATTCTAACGGCATCTATGCGGTTTTGAAGCTGAAATTTGATCATGGTCCTTTATCCCTAATTCATTACTCCTTCGTTTATTTTCATGATTGCTAAATTTTTCTTTTCTATGATTCAATCAATTTTCTAACAGTTAAAATATCTATGAGTGTCAAAAAAAAATTTTTCTTCATAATGAGTATTTAGAAGCGTTTCATTTAATTCAAATGAAGATAGAATTACGCAATTATTGTTACCTTCAAAATTTGACATATCTGCGCCATAGAAGCCCATTTTGTTTATTAAAAAAACAATAATTATTTTAAATTAAGCACGTCGTATTTATAAATTATTTGAGACATTCAAACAAAACACTTACCGAAAGCTTAAATAGAAATTTTATCGAATCATTTCTTTCTCGAAATTAGATTAGAATCTAGACTTGTTGACTTTTAATTAAATTTGCAAATTAACGAAAATTGATATGACCTAGTGCTTTTGGAACTTAAGTATTTTAATTTCATTTGTTGCTAATTCATTAGTAATTTCAATTAGAAAAAACATAAGTCAGTATGGAAAAAAAGGATTACACTTATTTTTATTCATTAAGCTATTTATCTGTTATTACTGTGCAATAATTCGTAAATTGTATTCAATTTTTTGTACACTTCTTCCACCCACCCCTCCCCCACCCCACTTCTTCCTTTTAAATAATGGAAAGAAAACGCGGACTAAATGTTATCAAGTAGCCCGGGGGTGGGGAGGGGGGGGGGAAGGAGGGAGTGTGGGGGGGGGGGTTGTTGGCAAATAGACGCTTGTTAGAAGTGGTTGGTTCTTATTTGCATGTTTGGGCAAGAGCACGAGACGTGATAGCATCAGTATGCAAGGCGAATTTCTCACCAAATCGGCTTGTCTTGCTGTTAGTAATATTGCTTTAAGGTCTACAATTCCACTTGGCATAGTCAAGCACTTAAGGGTTTAATGTGAGGCAACTATGGTGGTCCTTTACGAAACTTTTTAAAATGCTCTGTGGTTGAAACTATTTGTAAAAAGGGGCTTTGTTTACGCCTATTTTATGCATAAAAAAGTTATTTGAGGAGGACTGGTCATGTTCTTCTATTAATATCAGTATTGAAGTGATTAGGGTCTGCGTTCAAGACATCTACTTGTTAACTCGATTTTTCCTTAATATTCACTCATAATCTGTTGAGAACATTTAGTCAAAGGTCTAGATTTGACTTTACCGATCTTTTGCAAGGTCTTGAAGATGAGCTTATTTCAAATTTGAAAAAAAAACACTTTTGTTATTATGGCAGAAAAAGATAATAGGCCTACTTAAAATTTAACTAAGTGGTCGATTTATCAAACACTGAATTACGATAACTAGTGTGCACGTTAAGTGCATGTGGAATGGAAATTAAGAATTAAAATTAGAAAAGCAATTGCATACAGATGTTGTTATCTTAACTATTTGACAAAATGTGTCTTCAGCCATTAATTTTTTGCCTCTTAAGGAAATTTATGAAAAGTGAATAGTGGAGTTTGGAAAATTGGCTCAGTTTCTAGTCAGCAAAAACAGAAGTAAAAATCTTGGCATTTTACTGGTTTTTGAATGCCTGTAAATTAATCGCGCCAATAATTACAGTAATTTAGAATTGCATTTCAAATTGGGAAGGGAGTAATAATCAAATATATGACGGTTTGAGCACCTCCAATATATATATTGTAAAACGCAATACTTAATGATTTTGTGCAGTTAGCTAAGTAGTTTGTTGAAATCGATGTGAAAAAAGATCACTTCTATGGCAATAAAAGTTGGGTTAATTAACTTAAACATTCTATTTAAATGAACGCCACTGCATGTATTTCTTCTGGTTGAATTTTCGCCAATCAAAAAGCACTAAAATCAATTTTATAAATTTCAATCATTGGAATTGGGTTGTTTCTGGAATCTTCGTGATTTTTACCATTGATTTGCCTCTCTCATACCTTGATGCGCCTGCTTAATCCCGTTCCATATTAACATCGAGTAGGTAGACAAGTGTGTAAAATAGTCACAGAACTTTTTATCATTTTAAAATAAACAAACAAGTCATCAAAACTGCAAATCGAAAAATAGAGAAAATAATTCAACCCTTGAAACAGGAAATACCGTGAATTAGTTTCTGTCAACCTCACTTTTGATCAAATTTTCTTTTTGTCAAAATGAGTAAAAAAATGGCTCACAAATAATGTCAATATAATTAAAATTAGTCGTTTCCAAAAATGATGTCCTTAACCGAAATTAAGCTCAAAAATAATTTCACTTTTTTTCTTCCAAACTTCTAACAATTTTCGGCTTTCGGTAAGGAGCAATTACATTTTCACCCCATTTTTTGCAAAAAAATGTAGCATAATTTTAATTTATGAAATCATTTTTTTCCACCGCAACTACGATCAATTTGAACCGCCTGCAGGATATACTAATCAGGATTAAATTTTTCCCAAGTGAAAGATAAGCCGATTCTTCCTCTGATTGATGTTCTAGTTTTTTTGTGGTGTAGCGAAAATACGCACCAAACAAAGGACGTTACACAGGGGGAAGATAATTTGATTGCTCTAGTTTAATCCAATTTAACTGCAGTTCGCCTCTCAATTAAGCGATGCTATCTTAGCTGAGCCGAAATTTATTTCGCTTCATGCCAAGCACTGTCAATACTTCCTTCGGAGAGCAGATTACATTTTATCGAATGTCTTTAATTAAGTTTGAATAAAAAAGACAAGGTTTGCCTATTAGCAAAGACCAATTGTTGGAACTACAAGAGTGTGGAAATTAATTTTTTTGTAATTGAACTTCACTGCAAAATGTTTATTATTATTATTATTATATCAAATGGCGGGCGTTTTGATTGTTATCATTATCCCTTTAGTTGACTTCAGTCTTCACAGAGGGGAAGGTACATCAAAGTGTAAAAAATTCAAGAGGGGGGGGGGACAGAAAAGTGTATCAAAGAGGGAGGTAGATAAGGTGGAAAAAAGGTGGGATGAGTACTGTGGAAGGGGTCGAATATGACATACAGTGGGGTCATGGTAGTTTGAAGTCAACTGCCAGGTAATGGACTTTTTTGCCGTATGAGTATACGTTGCCCAGGGTGCACCACGTGGAGGTAAGTCTATCACACACCTCACACTGCGAAATGTAATGCAGTTATTCTTCATTTGATTATTTGATTAAAAACCTATTTTTTAATAGCTGAATACTTCGATAAAGTGGATATTGAATGACATTTTGCTACGATTCTGACATCTGGTACACTTTATACTTCATTAAACATAAAGAAATTTGGGGTTTCCTTTGGAGGAAATTCGTATTTTACATTGCAGCGGTTTATCTAACGCTATAAAATATGAAGCAGATGTGTTAATTGGAAAAATGCCTATTCCTCTTTTAACTTTATTTCGATTGGTTGGTACGTGTTTCTACTATGGCTTCAAATAAACAAAATGCAATCTAAGTAAATCCCTCTAGCTGACTTATTGTGACATATTAAATAATGCTGATATGCTGGTTCTTTCTATAATACAGAGTATGAAGTGAACACCTAAGCGCCAAAAAAAGATAACCAAGTTGTAGGAATTGGATATGACCTATTGAAAAGGCATAAAAAGATGCGATAAGTAAGAAGGTCAGGCCCATTAAGCACACGCCTGGAGTAGCTCGCTGGCCTTGTACATGCTATGCTTCCTCAATTCCAAAGTAAACACAATGATTTTGTGATTATATCTAGTTGAAAAAAGGCTTTTTTGCACTTATTTTATTTAGAAAAACGCGGTAAGAAGTCATCCAACAGAAAATCGAAGTATTGGAGTTCCTGGTCGTTGTGCAAACGACTTCTATCCTGTTGTCATGGCAAGAATCAGCACCACCGACAGGTGCATTCATCGAGACATCGTCGAGGTATGCAGAGCTGCTGCAGTCGAGAGAGTGGCAACTTTCTTACCACCTTCTACTGCCTTGTAAAGTGCCTCTATCTTATCAATGCGGTTGGCCAAATCTACTTGATGGAAAGGTTTGTCGGTGCGAGGGTGACTTTTTATGGGGCTGCTGTGTTAGCGGATCTTATAAGAAGTCGAGATTGGCAACAATCGGGCCACTTTCCAAGAGTTACTTTCTGTGATATGGAGGCGAAGAAACTTGGGAAGAACCATTTGTGAGTGGCACTCATTCTTGCAATATAATATAAAAAATCACTTTAGATTATTTTTTTGGAATTTTGTGGGCACATTTGTTTTTCCTTCCGTTTTCGGTAGTTAGTTGCACATGATACCTCGTAATTCATTCAAAACCGCAGCAACAAAACAAGATTTTATCACTCTTGGTTCCTCTACTAGACATTTTTGCTTATCTTTAAAGGCACATATTTTAGGAAAGTCCTAAATGTATTTTTTGCATCTTGATCCCAACTTTCGAGTATAGACCATTTGAAGCGTCATAAATTTAAAAGTTTTCCCATCATGTGAATTCCAAACTTTTGCTTAGGGATTCCGGCAAAGGAGGCCAAGCCAATAGAAGAAGCATAAGAAGTGCACGTGGACAGAGCATAATGACTAAGGCAAACTGTCTAATCAAATGACAAACTAATACATTCAAATGAAAGTAATGGTATTCCAAACAACAAAACTGAAACTACTACGAATTGTGACCAAGGAAAGCAGGAACCATGAAATTCCATAAAAGATCCATTTCCGAGCTAGGATCTACCACTTGCTTCAGCCTAGAGCTCATAAAATGGGAAAATAATTGCGTGAAGAGGAAAAAATTTAACATCAGCTACTTTGTGTCAAATCTTGGCGTAATCAACGGTAGTATTTAACAATTATTAATTCATAACCCATTTCGAAAAGCTTTTAAATGCACCTACCTGGGGTGGCAGAGTAGTTCCATGGAGTCGCTCATTCAAGAGGCATAAATGCTGATATCATTAATCAAACTTAATTGCTCATATCAATTCCACATACTGGGGGCTAGGGGGGGGGGGGGGTGCGTAATTAGGAAGCAGAAACGATGATCCCTGTCTTCTGTGAAGCACATTTCAACCGCTCTGATCATTTGTCCATACATGTTACTGTTGTCTTTGAATATTTCTCCTTTCCTTGGGTCTTTTATTTTAAAGACTAGAAAGGATTGAGTTGAGAATGAAATCTCTTACCAAATGGCTTTCCACTTTATCTACCGAGTTCTCGAAAAAATAAGATAAAATAAATAATCAAAATGGCTATAATTCCTGGACTTGGTTTAATTTGATTAGTTATGAATACATAGTACACGTCTAGGTTTTATCGGTCTTGATAGAATATCTGGTAATATGGTGAAAATGGCTGTTGATGCGCTGGTGGAAGATTAGGAAACATACTCACGTCCCGTAACATCAACAACACCAACAAAGAGGAAAAAAGTTGGTGACAATGCCCTTAGAGAAAAGGAAATAACGGTAATTTTAAGATGAAAAAGTGTTTTTATGCTATAAAATGGAAAATAAGAGACGCTTAACGACACAGGAGACTTGGCAACAAATGTTGAATTGCGAATCCACTACAATCAGATAATCTTATGTATTGATCAGGATATATCTGCACAGTCATTGATATCTTAGATATCTTTTCAGGCGTGTTTTGGACTGACAAATATTCAATATGACAGATAACTGAAAATAAAAGCACGCATAATTTCACTATTTATGGGACATATTATGAAGGCAGACCTTGTTTTAGGCAGACTGGGGTGTGTGATAGACTTAACTCCACGTAGTGCATCATGGGCAACATATACTCATACGGCAAAAAGCCTATTAACCGGCAGTTGACTTCTGACTTCAAACTACCATCACCCCACTGTATGTCGTATTCAACTAGTTCCAGAGTATTCACCTCTCCTTTTTTTCCAACTTTGTGTCTGTTACATCTTTGAAACACTCTTCTGTCCCCTTCTCTCTCAACATTTTTTCACTTCGATATTTCTTCTTCTCTGTGAGGCCTGAAGTCACCTAAAG